CTTCTTGGGTAACAGCCTATCCTCCATACTACTTTACCCAGGGTTCATGCTCTGGAGAGGACACTTCTCGATACAGAGCATGTTACCATAGTCTCTCGAGACTGAAGGATGCCTATGATGATCCGGATAAAGAGCTTTGATCATTCCTCTTTATACTAGTTATGTTTTCCTCTCTTTAGGAACAGAGGGGATCTATTCTCTACTGCCTGGCTAAGGTTCTAAATCTCTTTGAGGTAAGGCTTTCCGATGAGACAATCTTACCCCGTTGTTTCTTTTACGACACACACCGCTTTGGAAACCTCAGTGCGCAGCCTCGTATACTTAAAATGCCTTTTCGTTGTCATGAGCTTTTCTATTTCGTTTCTCGTGATTTTACTAAATCCTTTGCTGGGAGATTCTCATACTGGAAGACCAAAAATGTAACTTCTTAAAGCTTTAAACTAACTTCTCCTAGTGACATTAACACATGGTCTGGCTCAGTCTCCACATGTATCTTAGAAGTACATTTTTTAAAAAGCAGTGAATAAAGTATATACACCAGTCTAGAAGGTGAGAAGCAATGTTTTCTGTTTTTAAATTGGCTTATATGTGAGGAACGCTTTGGCTCAAATGCGCTGCAATCACAGTTTTTGCTGAATTGCCTATCTTTGAATAGTTGAGTTTGCTAAACCTTAGCAAACGGTTGCATTTGAGACTGTGGAATGAACACTCGAGGTGGGTGGCTTTGCACTTTAATGTAACCGAAGAGTTGACACGAATAACTTTGGTGCTTGTCGTTTTAGGAGGAGGAGAAAAGAAAAGAAGCTTTTGAAATGTTTGAGGACTCTTCAAAGCACGGTTGCCTGCACAGCTCCTACCTCCTCTGGGAAAATAACAGAAAAGCTGCTGTGAGTGTGTGTGCTTTGTAGTGCAAACACAAGGGAGGGAAAGGCTGCTATCTTATCCATTTGCATTATAAAGAGCACACGCGGCTGTGTGTACATTGTTTCTTGGAAATTCATTGGAAGCCTTGCAAACGCATGCATTCCCAAGATAAGTCCCCCAGGCTCAGCCGTTCACGAGGGATGCAAGACTGTCCAGTCCTCTGAAATGTGTGCCCATCCTTAGCTGACAGTGTGACCCTGAATGGCACATCCCTTCCTCACCTTCCAACTGCTGTGGGTATGCTGGTATGAGACATGCCTTGGTATCCTAATCTAATCCTGAACATCTCTCTGTACTCCTGTCTCTTGAGTACTGGAAGGACCGGTGCTCTGTTCATTACATAAAGGACCCAGTTATCCTTTATTTGCTTTAGACAAAAGTATAGTCTTATACATGGGAAAATATGGTATTTTGTGCATTTTGATGCGGACTTTGCCAGATATGTGCCTTTCCTCCAATAGTGCTATCTTATCCATTTGCATTATAAAGAGCACACGCGGCTGTGTGTACATTGTTTCTTGGAAATTCATTGGAAGCCTTGCAAACGCATGCATTCCCAAGATAAGTCCCCCAGGCTCAGCCGTTCACGAGGGATGCAAGACTGTCCAGTCCTCTGAAATGTGTACCCATCCTTAGCTGACAGTGACCCTGAATGGCACATCCCTTCCTCACCTTCCAACTGCTGTGGGTGTGCTGGTATGAGACATGCCTTGGTATCCTAATCTAATCCTGAACATCTCTCTGTACTCCTGTCTCTTGAGTACTGGAAGGACCGATGCTCTGTTCATTACATAAAGCACCCAGTTATCCTTTATTTGCTCATATTTTGTTATGACTGCATCTCCTATTTTTTTGTAGATGTCTGATCCTGGTCGATATCTCCAGAGCCTCAGGAAACTTAGGGATTATGCAGCCAAGGGCTCTTGGGAAGCTCAGGTAAGAGCCTTCCTCTTGGATCTAAGCTGGTTCAGTTGTTCATTTTCTGTCTCATCAATTTGTTTTTTTATTTAAGCAGATTTCCCCCACTTTTTATTGTTGTGCTTTGCTCCAGCACAGCACATGGAGCACTATTGAGGATGGTCTGCCTCAAAAAGCGCTGGCGTGGGTGGACCCTTTGCTGTACCAATGAAGGAAGGGTGCTCGTTCTAGTCTTGCTTCTTCCCCACCCCGAGGCCTGTATTACTACATATAACAAACACTCCAGCTATTATTTGTCTTCCTCAAGGTGCCCTTCTGGGGGGGGGGGAATGTCCTTGTTTGTGGTTGGTAAAATGCTGTATCTTATACCTTCCCTCTTGATCTCCGGTGTGTATCCTTTTAAAATTTTATTTATTTATTTTAGATTGCCCTAGCAAAAGCTTGTGGAAATGGAAACCAGCTAGGACTGGAGACGAAAGCCTCCAACGAGATGGTCTCTCAGCTGTTCCAGGCCTCCCTCCCGCTTAACAAGCAGAGCATCTTCACCGTTCAGAAAGGAATGAATGAGACAATGCGGTAAAGACACAATCTAGGCTTTCCTAAAGGACTGTCAAGTGAAAGAGAAACGGCTGCCAACTCTTACCCGCATTTATCGGATGCCTGCCCGCCTGCCCTATTGAAGTGCTCTGCAGGATGCTATACACCTGTTTGCTCGATGGCTAGAAAATGAGCTTTTATTTCTGTAATTCTCCTCTCTCCTTTTGGGGAAGCCTGAAATTGCCCCTTCAAAAAATAGCAAGGTAGTTTTGTATAGAAAAGCCAGCTTTTTAAAAAGAGATACCCAACAATAGCACCATAGTGTCTTCAGGTGCTAAGCCTTTGGCAGATGTAGTCTTCGGCAATTTCCTCCGCTGTTGGATAGCAAATGAGCACTTCCATAACTAGCTAGACAAACCATCTTCTAAGGACATATCTCTGAGGTTAGAGCGTTTGAATTTTCCAACCAGTTCAGCCTGCTGCAAGTGAATTTCATTGTATGGGTATACTGTGTATATACAGTGGTGCCTCGCACAACGGGCGCCTCGTAGAGCGATGAATTCGCTCTACGAGGCCGGTTTTGCGCTCGCAAATGCGATTGCAAAACGGTGCCTGCATAGGGCGAAAATCGCAGAGCAAAGGTTGGTAAGCGGTTCGCTTACCGACCTTCGCTTTGCGACCTGCCGATCAGCTGTTCGGCGGCTACAAAATGGCCGCCGGAAGCCCCAAAATGGCTGCGCGCAGTGTTTTCGCGCCCTCGTTAAGCGAGGGGAGGGCGCGAAAATGGCTGCTGGCCATTGCAAAACATCGCTGAATGGTGAGTAAATCAGCCGATTGGAATGCATTAAACGAAGTTTAATGCGTTCCAATGGGCTTTTCTGCCCCGTTCAGCGATGTTTTCAACACAGCGAGGGTTAATCCGGAACGGATTAACCTCGCTGTGCGAGGCACCACTGTACTTACAATGACAATAAATAAATAAATGCCCTCTGGATGTGATGGACCATCACTTTCATCAACCCCCACCCCACCCCCCAGCAGCATGGCCGGCATATGCTGGCTGTGGATTATGGGAGTCACATTTCTCAGGTGCCATTTTGAGGCTGGAGAGAACTGTTGGTTGTAGGAACTGTGTCCAATTGGTATTCGGCTCTCCCACCCTCTCCTATTCCCTGGCCCTTCAACATTCTGGGGTTGTGTTGATGGCAATAACAATTCTAGATGTGGCTTTTAAAAATGTTTCAGACATCGCTGTGCCAACTTTGACAGAAGGCAGTGGGTTTAAGCTGTTGCTTGCTTGTGTGACGTGGTATAAAATTTAATAAACAAATAAATAAAATGATGTGGGTGGCTTCTTTTGAAAGACAATTATCTCTCCTGTTTCAGATACATCCTGATTGACTGGCTGGTAGAGGTGGCCACCATGAAGGATTTCTCCAGCCTTTGTCTCCATATGACTGTCGGATGTGTGGATCGGTACTTAAAAATAAGACCTGTACCCAGGGCTCGTCTTCAGCTTTTGGGAATTGCGTGCATGGTTATTTGTACACGGTAAGATTCGTTACTGGCGGAACAGTTGTTTGCCAATGTTTTCTGGGACGAAATCAAGGCATGCAAAGTTTTCTGAATGTTGTAGCAGTGGCAACTAATCATGTCTCCTGGTATCTTTCCTGGAATTGTCCATGTGTGAGTCACACTCCAAACAGCAGCTAGTTAGGCAGAGGGTGGATTTGTCTATAATAGAAATGTGGAATTTATAATAATAAGTCTGTGCTTACTTCAGAAGGACTCAGATCATTATTAGAACCAGGAAAAAAAGCACTGGATGTTAAATATCACCCAATATAGTATTTTCCTAGATGAATGTCAGATCACTTCCCGGCTTGTCAAAATGAGGTCTACACTTGGAAGAGAGGTTAAAGATAACAAGGGCGCTTTTAGGGCTTCCTCACAGCAAGAAAGGAATGCAGCGTTGGTAGGTCTGCTTTGGGAAGATGATGGGGCAATACTAACAGGTGACAGAAAGTAGGCAGAGTCACGGAACAGCTCCTTTGCCTCTGTTTTTCCCCAAAAAAAGAAGCTGGAGCAGGTAGAATAAAGGAGGTGTTAAGGGAGATGCTGGGTGCAATGGGCACAGAGGCCATGCAGAAACACCTCACTGATTTTTAAATGGATTCATGTCTCCAGAGCCAGATGACCTGCATCCGAAGGGTACTTGCATAACACACTGTATTGACACGGTCACAGGGGATAAACGTATCCGGGTTTATCCCAATCAAAAACCTTGGATGACCGGGAAGGTTAGACGCCTGTTGTATGCTAGAAATAAGGCTTTTAAGTCTGGGGATGATCTAGACTACAGTGCAGCAAGAACGAATTTGAGGAGAGGCCGAATACAAGAGGAGAATTGAAGACTGCTTTCTCAGCAATAACATGAGGCAAGTTTGGCAGGGGGTTCAACAACTAACAAACTACAAAGCAAAAAAGGTTTCCTCAGGCGGAGGTGTGGAGGTGGCTGAGGAGTTGAACAACTTTTTTGCTCGATTCGAGATCGATCAAACTGAAACTGTTCGTTTGCCATCATTTACTCAGCAGAGTCCCCCCTTCATTGTGAATGAGCAGGATGTGAGACAGACTATGAAAGTGGTTAACTCCAGAAAACCAGCTGGACCCGACTTAATTCCTGGTCGGGTGGTAAAAGACTGTGCTGATCAGCTAGCCGGGATATGGACTAAAATTTTTAATCGATCCCTGACACTATGCGCAGTTCCCGTCTGTCTCAAGGCTTCCGTCATCGTTCCACTGCCTAAAAAGTTGCCTACAAACAGTCCGAATGACTACAGGCCGGTGGCACTAACTTCAATCTTAATGAAGTGCTTTGAGCAGTTAGTTCGGAAATATATTATCTCCTGCCTTCCTGATCCCTTTGATGGGCTTCAGTTTGCTTATAAAGAAAATAGATCAACCGAGGATGCGATCAATACTGTGCTTTATATGGCTTTATCCCACTTGGAAACACAAGGGAATTATGTAAGAATGCTGTTCGCGGACTTTAGCTCTGCTTTTAACACCATTATACCCCACAGATTAATAGACAAACTTAAAGATCTTGATTTTCCAGATTCTATCTGTCTGTGGATTTTGGATTTTTTAACAAATCGTCCACAAAGGGTTAAACTGAATGACTACATCTCTACTGACAAGATACTCAGCACTGGCACTCCACAAGGCTGTGTCCTTAGACCACTACTGTTCTCCATTTATTCATCAGATTGCACCAATAACCATCCCAGTAGATTTGTCTATAATAGAAATGTAGAACCTATAATAAATCTGCTCTCACTCCAGAAGGACTCAGATCATGATTAGAACCAGGGAAAAAAGCACTGGATGTTAAATATCACCAAATATAGTATTTTCCTAGATGAATGTTGGATCACTTCCCAGCTCGTTAAAATGAGCTCCAACGTGCAAGAGAGGTTAAAGATAACAAGGGCGTTTTAGGGCTTCCTCACAGCAAGAAAGGAATGCAGCGTTGGTAGGTCTGCTTTGGGAAGATGATGGGGCAATACTAACAGGTGACAGAAAGTAGGCAGAGTCACGGAACAGCTCCTTTGCCTCTGTTTTTCCCCAAAAAAAGAAGCTGGAGCAGGTAGAATAAAGGAGGTGTTAAGGGAGATGCTGGGTGCAATGGGCACAGAGGCCATGCAGAAACACCTCACTGATTTTTAAATGGATTCATGTCTCCAGAGCCAGATGACCTGCATCCGAAGGGTACTTGCATAAGGAGTAGCACAGTCCTGTCTCGAAATGTATGGGAATTCTTGGAGAATAGTTGAGATCCCTGATGATTGGAGGACAGCAAATGTCATCCCCATCCTCAAGGGGGAAGAAAAAGGATCTAGGCAGCTACAGTATGGACCAGTCGGTGTGTCTAGGAAAGGGCTTAGAACAGATCACCCAACGGCCTGTAAGCACTCAGAATCTAGCACAGCTTTCCCGAAAACAAGTCATGCCTTTCCTTTACACATAGTAACAAGCTTAGTTGACGAAAGGCATGTTGTCCATCTGTACTATATCTTGATTTCTTGCCTTTTGGCAAGATCCGTCATAATATTCTTGTGCCCCTTTTTTTCTCTCCTTTCGGAGACACTTAGAAACATTATTGTTCAAACAGGCTTTTAATATTTAATTTTAGCGTAGCTACGTGCCGTACTGTGGTGGCCATTCTATTCTTTTTTAAATCCATGCTCTTAAAATAATGTTTTTACACCTTTAAATCTGTTTTTAGATGGGGATTTTAAAATTTCCGTGTTTAATGGCTTTTTAATGATTCATAATACCTTATTTTAATTTTGTTTGTTTGTTTTAACAATCTGTGAGCTGTGTTGGAGACTTGCCGTCTGGGAGAAGAAAAATGACATAAAAGTGCAATGAATTAATCCTGTCCTTGCTCTTTATACAGATCTTAATCTGTTTTTTGTTACAGTTTTATCAGCAAAGATATCTTGACAATACGGGAAGCAGTGTGGCTAACAGACAACACATACAAGTATGAAGACCTTGTCAGGATGATGGGAGAGATTATCTCGGCCCTTGAAGGCAAAATAAGGGTAAATTTTTAGACACAAATGTTGGCTGAATCAGTCTCAATCTGATCTACAGTTATGGTATATTCCCTTCCTGTTCCGTGTTGCAGATGAGACAGCTACAGAGTCCTGCAACCGTGGTTATTCCATGTATAAACTGGTATTTCTTCCTGTTACCTAATGTTCATGCAGGAAAGATAAAGAGCACACTCAAGTTGTATGTACTTCAGGGTGGTGTTTATCTTGAAGGATTGAGCAGATCTCCCATGCAAATGTCAAAGAGAGATTCCCCTTTCATTCTCTCTCTCCTCTGTACTGAGAGCAGAAATTAGACAAGGAAGGGCTGTTTACGCTTCTCCTGCTTGGGAGGTTCTGCCTGTGGCTGGGGGACCTCCTTCCTTCCCCAAGAACCCTGTCTGAGGTCCTTCCCCCTTGTGACTTATTGCCAGCAGATGAAAGCAGGGTGGCTAGAATACTAACGCTGATTTAGGCTTGCATAACGGAAATTGCCCAAGTCTTCGCTGCGAATCGTCACTCATTAATGAGGTTCTGATCGTGTTCCAAGACATATTCCCAGGTGCACACCCAGCATCTCATTACTGAGCAACAATTTGTCCCTGTAGCTTAACACCATTACCCTTACACAACTATTAATCAGGATGCTGGTCTATGTTCTGTTTTGGGTGTTAGACAAGAAAAGCGGGAAAGGAATATGGATAATAAATTGGACATCCTGTTTATGTTGAAAAGATGGCATTCTTACCGCTTTTCTATACAATGTTAAATGGCGTACACTCTTTTCATGTATCTCCTCTTGTCTTATAGATTCCTACTATTGTGGACTACAAGGAAGTGCTACTGAAGATATCCTCACTGGAGAGGAGAACCGTTTACTTTTATAGCTTTATTTGTGAACTCTCCCTCTTGAACACAGGCCTTTGCGTGTACTCTCCTGCCCTTTTGGCTGCAGCAGCTTTGTTGCTGGCAAAAGTATTGCACCAACAAGGTGAGAGGATTTATTTCTTTATTTTATTAGACTTCTATCCCCTCCATCTAGTGGTGAACCACTACTCTGTGCAGCTAACAGAGGAACAAAGATGTCACTTTTAAGAAGCAAAGATAGTCATGCTGGTCCATGAGTAAAGAACAAAAACTTGCAGTTAGGCAATGACTGTATCAGGAATAATCAAAATGTACAGGCTTTCAGATTCTCCAGAATTTCTTGATTTCTTAAATTAAATTTAAAAATTTAAATTTAATTTTAAAAAAAGAATAATGTAAAAATAAAGGTTATCACTGCGAAGCCTAATGAAGAATTATGGGGAACTCAAACGCTTGCGTATGTAGGACATTTTACTTTGCCCCAATACAATTTATGTATTGTGTGGGACATGGTGGCGCTGTGGGTTAAACCGCAGAAGCCTCTGTGCTGCAAGGTCAGAAGACCTGTAGTCGTAGGATTGAATCCATGCAACGGAGTGAACCCGTCGCTTGTCCCCACTCCCGCCAACCTAGTGTTTTGAAAGCATGCAAAATGCAAAAATGCGAGTAGATAAATAGGTACCACCACGGTGGGAAGGTAACAGCGTTCTGTGTCTAGTCGCGCTGGCCACGTGACCACGGAAGATTGTCTTCAGACAAACGCTAGCTGTATAGGCTGGAAACGGGGATGAGCACTGCTGCCTAGAGTCGGACACGACTGGACAAATTCTCAAGGGGAACCTTTACCTAATACAATTTGGCTGTTGAATCATTTAGGCTGCTTCTTATCTGCCGAAAGAAGAGTGAGGGTTGAGTGGAGAACGTTGGAGGCAGCTACAGTGCCTCAGTGTTGTGAAGAATAGTTTTCCACTAAAGAACAGAGCCAGTGGCCCAGCAGTCCATGGGAACTGCAATCAAAATGTTTTAAGAGTTCAGAGCAATGAGTTTAGTTAACCTGTATTGGGTGGTGAGCAATATATGTGATTTATTTTGCATGTTTTTGTACTTTTCAGCTCATCCTTGGACTAGCCAGTTAACGGAAAGCACCGGATTTTCTCTTGAAGATCTGATACCTTGTGCACTGAATCTCTACAAGAAATGGTAAAAACTTTTGGGGTTGGGTTTAGTAAGGACTGGGAAAGCCAGTGGATGAGCAGTGAGAAGCAGGCTGCTTATCCAATTGTTGCAAAATAGCCATTGGCATACCTAGCACATGCTTTTGGCCTGAGATTAAATGAAAGGCTGCATTTCCCCCCATATGCCTGGGCTCTGAGAGGTTTAACAAAAAATGGTCTCTTAGTCATGAAACTAGGGATGGGGCACAAACTGTGGTTTGGCCGAGCACCTGTACAGGTGATCCCTGCATGCTGCGCACTTCCGTCCCCCACTTCCTCAGGCAGCCACCCACTCACCAGCAGAATCTGCTTCTCTGCTCAGGTGGATCACTCGGTCACTGGCAGCAGCGCGGTGT